GTATGTGTATATTAAAGATAATATAATATTTAAGTATATCATATGTTGCTAGAATTAACAGATAAAAATACTAACAAAATATCTTATTTATTCATATTCATACTAAAAAACCGGAAAAAATGTTTCCTGTATAATTATATAAAATTAGATAAAATTATATATAATTATACAATATATATATATTATATATAAAAATATGTTTATATATATATATTTTTTTTTTTCTCCGGGTTATCAGAAATATTTTACCAAATTACATGAGTTATATTATTTTCAGTTATTCGAATTACCACTTGCGCGGCTTCCGGCAGGAAAGGTCCTACTGATGAGAAATGTACTGAAAAATATAATAACACAAATGTAGAATTGTTCATACCGTCACAAGAGGGGGAAAGATTTAATTTGTATGGAGTCCAACGATGGACTGCACCACGCGGTGAATACTACACGTTAGTAGACAAATCTTTTTAGAAATATAGATTTACAATAGTGAGCTTTCAAGACAGTTTATTAGTTTAATAATAATATCAATTTAATCACACGAGGGAGGAATTTAATTTTAACAGAGAGATTATAAAATTAATATTAAATCGATAATTCATAAATGATAGAAAATTTTATTTATTCTGTGTCATACACATTTATCGTTTGTTATTAAACTCTTACAGAAGGCTTTATGATGAAAAGAGTAATTTTTTCCACGTATATTATTAAAAATATGTTTTTCTTTACAAGAAATTTAATCAAAAAAGTATGTTTTAAAATAATAGTTTGCTAAAATGTGATTGCACGAAGAAGCTATTTATAATAAATCACAAATAGATGGGTAAGATTCAAATTTCATTAGTACGCGGATCAATCTATGGCTATACTCAGCTAATTAGAAAAAAATATTCTTTCAAATTACATATTCGTGAGATGTATGGAAATGATAAATAGAATATAGAATGGTGCATCCATTTTGACCTGTCTAATTACAATATTGTTTTTGAAAACAGTTTAATCGCCATCGGAGCACGAGGAGGCTTGGGCTCGAGCAATACCGGCATCACTTTGGGTGCATTTGTTCGCGGTGTCATAGAACTCCAAAAAGGCGATCAGTTATATTTCATGGTTGGTCAAGAGGGAACGGATGCGTGTGCCAAAGTGAGTATTGCTGACCGGAAAAAGATTTACATAAAATAATATAATGAAGATATAAATAAATATTTCTTCTACACGAACATTTATTTTCGAGAAAATAAAATGTGAAAACTGGAATATTAATAAAGTTATTTTTATATTCTTAAGCTTTTTTACTTTATAACTTTCATTAATATTTTTCCATAAATTCTATTATCTGATGAAATTATTTCAACATTGATTTTTCTCCCTCCTGTAGAATATTTTTAAATTGTTTTTTTTTTTTAAAAGCTTGAAAAGAATTTCATTCTACATGTTCAGTTTTATTTTTGCAAAAATAAAATTTTTTTGAGTTGCATTATAAATTATCTTCTATTTGTTTAGTTCATATTATTGTTTATAACAAATTAATATTATTGATCTTGTCAAAGCAGAATCTTGGCTTAAAAAAAACTGCCTGTCCGTCGAATCAATATGCCGACTTATCACTATCGCAGGCATCGAAAATGCGAGAAGTGAAGAAGGTTGAGTTTAGGAATCCTGGTGGCGGCGGCGGTGGTGCGACTACCATTTTCACAGTAAATATTATATCCTCAATAAAAAAAATGATAATAGCAATTTAGTAAAATAATAAAAAATAAAACATGCATATCTCTTCTTATTATAGCTGATTGTAAAAGTTGTACATATATTTTATATTGGAATTATAATAATATTTGCACAAAAAACTTTAGTTTTCCATTAATTTTCTTCTCATTATTATATAAATTATTATATAAATTCGATATAACATCGATTATAGTTGAAAGCAAATGGTGATCTGGAGCCCATCTTAATCGCGGGTGGTGGCGGTGGTTTAGGATTGAATCCTACTATGGACGATGGATTACAGCATGGACGCGGTCCCTTTCCCATGGGTAGACTTTCATCTTCTCCGTCCAATTTTTCAGAACGCATGGGTAACTAGTTTTTTTCCTTAAAATGTATAATAAAAATATCTGAGTTGCATTTTTATAAGAAGAAACTTAAAATAGAAATGCAAATTCAAGTAGAATTTCGGCTTCTAAGGTGGACCCGGTGCTAGTTGGAATGGTACATGGCCTAATTTTCAACGAAAGGCTTGGGGAACGCCATTAATTTACGGAGGTGTAGGAGGTATCGGTTGTGAATCGGGAACCGAAATTCATGGTGACGGAGGCTTTGGCGGAGGTGGGGGCGGTTGCCAATCAGGGGGTGGTGGCGGAGGTTACATTGGTAAGCAGAAATATGAAAATATTGTACAAAGTGATTTAGATGTCATCATAAAAAAAAAATCTCGCTAATATATTTAAATCTACTATTTGCATATTATTATATAAACGTTTCTTAAATATATTTTTAAACTACAATTGAGATATCGAAATTAAGATTAAGAAACAAAAAGTATTGATTAAAATCCATCTTGACCTAAATTTATATATTAACGATCTTCATCAGCACTAGTGCAGAAATAACTATAGAAGTAACTTTGCTTTCTTTAGGTGGGAATGCTGGACAGAATGATGGAAATGGTGAGGGTGGTTATTCATACGCCAATCAGAAGCTCACCGATGTTTATTTCAAAGCTGCAGCTCATTCTGGCCAAGGCGAGGTCTTCGTCATACCCGCGATCAGTGGTTGCGGTTGCGATTATCGTTGCGTCGCGCTCGATCAGTACTTGAGCGAGACCAAGTGTCTCTGTCCTCAGGGTTGGTTGCTCAGTAACGATTCAAAATCCTGCATCAGTAAGCAATCATGATGGACGTATCATCATTTTCATTATTACATGCAAATATGAAATAAAATTGTTGCACATTGAATTTTAGTGGCTGATGATTCCAAGGATGGTCATCAAACGTACATGATCCAACTTGTAGTTGTAATTATTGGCTTGCTTACTATTATTGGAATTTGCCTAATATCTTGTACGTATATAAAAACTTTAAATTTTATAACATAACAGATTAAATGATAAGATATCGATTTCGATCTTCCGCATTTTTGTTTCTCTTGCATATTTTATGTTATCCAACAGATAAACGGTACCAAAAACAAAAAGCGCTTTCCCATCGCCGCCAAGTGATGTTTGGCAACGGCACTGAATTAGCTGCATTGCGTCCAGGACACCAGTCGGACACGATGATGACCGAATACAACCCCAACTACGAGTTTGCTGGCAATCTCTATAGCTTCAAAGACTTGCCGCAAATACCTCGCGAGTGTATCGATTTAGTAAAGTTAGTACGAATATATAACACACTAAGGCTAATTAGCATATCAATAATATATTTACTTAGACTACTTTCCTTTTAAAAGACGTAGCTGATTTAGCTTTGTCATTCATTAAATATTAAGAAAAAGACGAACGATTTTTATCGACTATGTCTCCTAAAAGGAAACCAGCCTTAAATAAATTTTATACAGATTTAATTTTTTATTTTCTGAATGTTTATAATTAGCGTATCAATGAGATATACCAAACAATTTTACAAATTGATTATTTTCCCAACGTTTATTTATATATATATATACGTAAAAAATAAAAGAAAAGTTTAATTTTTTTTAATTGTGTGAAATAAAGTAAGAATGATCGATTATATTTTTAATGCAGACCTCTCGGCCAAGGCGCATTTGGCGAAGTTTTCCAGGGCGTTTACAAATACGGAGGTGACGAACACCCCGTCGCTGTCAAGACGCTACCATCTTTATCCACGACGCAAGCAGAAGCTGATTTCATGATGGAGGCGTTAATAATGAGCAAATTTAATCATCCGAATATAGTACACTTTATCGGCGTCTCTTTTGACAAACATCCTAGATACATCGTTCTCGAATTATTAGCCGGAGGCGACCTTAAGAATTTTCTACGTGAAGAACGGCCTCGATCAGTAAGTATTAATAATACATTATGACAACACTATAATTCAAGAGAAAAGCGAGATTGAAATATTGCACTATATTCTTAACTTTGAACCTACTTTAATATATGTGATTTATTTAAATATTTCTAATTAATGTCTGTATTTTTATCTAATTTCTATGATGCACGTATATATACATATTTTTGATTTTACAGGACCGACCTACATCATTGACAATGCTAGATCTTATTATGTGCGGCTATGATATCGCAAACGGCTGTAAATATATGGAGGAAGCGCGTTTTATACACCGAGATATCGCCGCTAGGAATTGTTTATTGACAACTAAAGCACCGGGTCGTACCGTTAAAATCGCAGATTTCGGTATGGCCAGGGACATTTATAGAAGCGATTATTATAGAAAAGGCGGCAAGGCGATGCTACCCATAAAATGGATGCCACCCGAAAGTTTCTTGGACGGCATATTCACTACAAAAACTGATGTCTGGTGAGACTTAGTATTCCATATTTGCTTAAAAAAAAACATATTATTCTCAATCCCAATTTTCTCTTTAAAAAATACGTACGTTTTTTTCATTTTTATATAATTTATTTTCATTGATAAATCAAATTCTATAGTCGAAAAAAGAACTGTCACATTAATATAAATTATAAAAAAGAAGTAAAGCTTATAACGTTTCTTATTTCTTATAATATAATTTTTAGGGCCTTCGGCGTGCTCCTGTGGGAAATTATGTCATTCGGATATATGCCCTACACCGGATGTGCAAATCGTGAAGTTATGTCGATGGTACAGTCTGGTGGTCGTCTTGAGAAACCCGCGGGATGCCCAGATCCTATATATGGAATCATGACGCGATGCTGGCATCCACGGCCTGATGACAGGCCAAGTTTCTCTACTATTGCTGAAAGAATCGGTTATTGTTTACAGGTGAGAGTGCAATAGGAATTTCAACTATATTTTGTTATAAACTTTATATAAAATTCTCTGTTATATAAAATTATTCTTATTATTTAATCGAAATATTATCTAAGGCAATATAATTTACGAATTAATATTTTTTTTACAAAGGATCCTGATGTAATAAATAAACCCACGCCTAATTTCGACATATTGCCACACATTTGTGATCGTGAAATAACAATTATGAGACCGGATCCGGAAGCGGAATGCATCAATGTGCAGTCTAATGTCAGTATAGTTATAAAATGAAATACGAAAAAATTATATTTTGTTCAACATACGTAGAAAGTGAACTTTAAACTTGTCCGACAGTTGGATAGCGGTTACATACAACCGAGAGTCAGCGATCCACGTTCCGTTGCACGTCGTGTGGATCAAGCTATGGGTGGCACCGCCTACGATTCCGAAAATGAAAAATCGATCGAGGATAAATACGGCGAGTCTTACGCGAAATCAACGGGATGCCAGCAAGGATTCAGTTGCAATACCTGTGATTCTAGTATGGATACCTTTGAACAAATTTACAACAGTGACAATGATGAAGATCATGATGACGATGTGAGCGAAAATAAGGTACATATTTGGAAATTTTAGAAAATTTATCATTATTTTAATTGTATTTAATCATTACTCTTATTAAATTAATTATTATCTTATTTTAATTATATTCTATCATAATTCTTCTTTCACAAGTATCTATTAAAATAAATTATATGTATAATATAACTATATTAGAAGTTAAAATAAATGTAGACCGTGCAAAAAATAAGCCAGTATGAATAAGGATCTTACAATGAGTAGTAATACAAAAAAAATAATAGTTTTAAATGTTTAGTCATTACATTTAGAACTATTTTAATATTATCCTATATTTCTTTTATTTTACAATTGCAATTAATTTACTACTAAGATATACGTATCTATAGATATTATTTATACGATCTCTGTAGGACAAAAAGAGGATCAACCAATCGGATCGACAAGAAAACAGGGCAATACATCGAAACAGTGACATCGAAGACCACGATAATATAGACAATGGCAACAACCGTCCAGAGGATGAATGTCATATGACTGCCAACATCGATAGTGCAATAACGGATCGTAAAAATGGTAATGAGAGCACAACGACTACCGACACCAATTCCGACTCTCTGATAGCACAATCCTCGGACACTCCGCCCGACACAATAACGAACTCATCGCCCAACATGCGCTCTTGTTCGTCAAGTCGTATCATCGGCCTCAACGCCAATGTTAGTAATGTGAACGGTATGGTGAAGAAGAATACCTTGAAGGCAACCCTGAGTCTGGACCCGAGCGCGCTCTGCAGAGGCACCATCCCTTACGAAAAGATCACAACACAACGCTTGAGCAGTTCATACACGCCGGGCAGTAAGGAACTAAGGAAGGTAACTTGACCTCTCCCCTACATTCGACGTCCTGCAAAGTTTCCATCTGTACATGACCGTGGTCCTTGATCGAAGGTACTTAACGCAATTTGTCCACCGACAAACTCGACATTTACGATCAAGGGGTTTTCCATGAAACATAATAGAATAATATTTCAAAAATATAAAAGCACTAGGTGCAATGGGTATGATAGAAAAGTTAATATTTCGAAAAATAAAAAATGAAAAATAGAATTAGTACATTAATATATTTTATATATAATATTTTTGCGCATTTTCATGTGCAAACTCCTCGATTGCGAATTAACAAGACGTCTTTTTGAGATTACAAATATTTTAAAGGATTCTCTGAACTATACTACTTTCTAGTAAATTCAGAAACAGATCTAGAGGGAGCACATTAATGATTATAATTTTTCTTGCTACTAAATTGAAATGCAATTTTTCTGATGTAATACTCTCTATTTTACGTTTTCTATTTTTGCAATGTAGGATTCCCTGGGTCACGAGCTGCCAAGGGAAGAAGAGTGCTCCTGCTGAGATTTATCCGAGGGGGGTTGACGAGGCTGCCCGGCCGCGCTCGGCTGCAACGTTGCTCGTCGATTGCAGCTGCAACGATCGGCCACAACGACTGCGCTTATAAGGGATACACAGCTCGTAGAACTCTCCTCGCCTCCGTGGGTCCAGGACAACGAATACTCGCGTCGTTATTATTCTGAGGAGACCCTCCTGTGAATGGGAATCGAGGGAAACCTTCGAATTTCTTTTCATAGACGACGCTTTTTTGATGCGCGCCAAACATTGGTTTCCATAAGAAAGACACGCGATTATCGTAAGTCGGAAGAAAAGAGATTGTTACAAATGAACGCAAAATAAGTGAGTTATGTACATACGGAAAAGACGAAAGATACCAAATACGTAAACATGTATTCAATACGTCGTTAAGCGTCACATATATACACGTACAACCATATACTTTGCAAGATGATCTCGTCAAGTAAACTTTCTGCGTGATAGCGATGGGGCAGAAATTTGTAAAATTATTGAATCACTCGTTAACGTGGATCTTCGAATTAATCAGAGTGACATATGTAGCTCGTGAAATCAACGTTAAAAACGTGGATACGTACTTGGAAATTACAGATTGGGAAAAATGTTTTTGTGATGTACATATATTTGACATTTAAAAATCATCTAAGAAATGCGAGTAGTCTTGTCTTCGACATAAAGTAAATCCCTGGTTGAAGACAGTACAGCCGTATTGTCCTATTTATTTACACGATTAAGGATTCCGACGGAATTAATACGGATATGAAGGGTACTATGGCTGTCAAGTAAAATGTTACACTGTAATATCGATGTAAAAAATCTCCGTAGGCTGATCGTCTACTCGTGACTCTCTCTAACCAAAGAGGCGACGATCTATGAACTCCTCATTGGTGCACCATCACTATCGTAAAGTGGACAGCGATAAATGCGTCTTAGGAAATAGGAAAGTGGAGAAAAGAAAGGAAATAAAAAGAGCACGAGCCCTTTTTTATTTTTCTTACAACGACGACGTATTTTACGTGCGCGTAGCGTATGAAAGTCAGCCTATGTATCTGTACGTGAAACGTAATAAAGGCGTGTTTATGGAAGGTAGTCTATTACTACTTCATACTTCCCTTCGATAATCATAAAGTCATTTAGAATCTCATAAACTCGAATAAATTATTAAATTTCAAGCATTTGTAGGAAAATCTTTCAATGTCTCATACAATAATCTCTTTTAAAAAAATGATTGGCTCCATTTCTTTATATCTCTTAATTTATTTAGCATATAAATCAATCGAAAGCACACCACTTACAGCTGTCCAGCTTCAATGTCTAACTCTAATTGAAGAGCAAGTTGGCATTATATTATTGGCTGTCTCTCCCTTCTTTTCTATTTTGTGCATCGTTCATTTTCTGATGTCGGCGTATTCTCAGGAACATTTGCATCGTGCAACGCGATCTTTGGCAACGAGATCTCTGTGCTGGACACAGTGGACACCAGCATTGTCACATCTCGGAAAGCGTCGTAGTTTTCTCAGTAACATTGGCGGCGCGGTGGCTATATATACGCCCGTACGTACGAGTATGTGGAGTAAATAAGCACAGTATAAACGACGGCACAGTGTCAGACTAAGCGTGCATATACGAACACGCAGCGAAGGAAAGAGGGCTGACAGTCCGATTCGCGTTGGATGACAATTCGTGCATGGAACTCCGACGTCGCACGTATCCTGATCATATCCCGTTTGTCCTCGCTTTGTATTCCACGTGACTCCCTATAACACGAAACAATGTCGAATTATTCGTATTACTACGTAAAAACTATCGTCGAAGATGGTCGTCCGCTAAAAACATATAAATTTGCGAAAGGGTAAGCCGTCACGCTCTAATTCCTGTAATAAGTTTTACGCTTGTTTTGCGATACGAGATGAGATGAGTAACATGTGAAACATCAGCGCTATCACTTTCGATGAGAGAGGTTATTTAATACAAATTTTTCTTTTTAATTGTAAATATTATACCCTACTTCCTTGGAAGTTAGTTAGATTTACAGAATTGACGAGTCAATTCAGGAAATAAGAAGAATTAAAACAACATAAATTTAACGAAACTATAAAGCAGACATTTGCGAAGCAGTCTTTAAATAATTTACAGAAAAATAATCAACTTGATTTCTTAAATCTTTCTTTAACAATTAATTAACTTGTTTTGACACTTGTCTCATATCAATATTCAATTTATTGAAAAGCAAATTGATATTAATTTCTTTTTTTAATGCTTTTGAAGCTTGCACGGGTACTTTCTATACAGAAGTTGCACATTTCATGAGTTATCTATATATTCAGATCCATTATTAGAATACTAACGTTTAGTGAACGTTGCAGTTCATTTAGAGTGAGAAACAGTCTGACCTATATTGTATCAGGCTAATGTTACATTTGTCCGTTTTTGCCAGACAGAATTTTTACGATAAATTTTTCAAATTTATTGGTCATAGGATAGAGAGATCTGAGAATCTTTCCTGTAACCAATTAATACGCTCAAAAAATTTGTCATACAATAAATGTAATAATAAAATCTAATATTAAGCTGCTCCTCGCCTGTTCTGATGAAGTGAATTACAATGTTCATGAAATCTTGGTATTCTAATAATGAATCTAGACGCAGAGATAAAATACATGATTTCTTTTTTCTTCACTCTCTCTTATTTAGTATTAATCTTCGGCAACATTTTTTCATGTACTTTATACAAAGAAAAAAAAAACAAATTTTTGCTTAGATATCCTGTACAAGCAACCAAAGACGCGTGGTCGACATTAGGTCGTTACAATCTTCTGTCACGTTTATTGCGAGGAGGGCTATCTGGTTCTGGCGACGTACACCATCCTGCCAATACTACCTTCAAGGTTTGTTATTATAGTGTTTTCTGGCTCGATGAATAATAGTGATTTTACGCGAACCAAACGTTTAATAACCAAAACTCGTGCGTCTTTCAAAATTTCTGAATCGCGCGTCTTCGTGCAATGAGGAAGATTTTTTTCGGATGTATCATATTTGGCACATTGCCAAATTCATTTTTAAATGTAAAACACGATCCCTCTCGTACGCGCGAACTACGATGCGTACAGTCGACTCATATTTTTAGGCTTGCAACATCTAACATTCTGCCCTCATGCTCGCGCCTTCGTGATGTCTACACAACACTTTAATGTTTCGCAATCCTTTGAAAATTAGGATTTAAGAAGAATTTTGTGAAAGCTTCTGTAAAGCTGAAAGTTCATTTTTTTTACAGCAGCAGTATTTCAATTAAAAAAGGATTAAATTATATAAAAAATTATAAAATATTAAAGATTTAAGAAGTTTTTTTAATCTTATCCAATGTTTAAAGTTCTAAAGCTGTATTACTGTAATTTTGTTAACTACAATAAGAATCTTCTAAATTCATCTTTATTAAAAATTAACATCGCGGCATTGGGCACTCAAAAATTAAATAGTTTTAAAGAGAATATAGCTTTAATTTCGAAAAAAATCTATGAAATAGAATAAATTAAGTTATATGTAAAAAATAAATTAAAAGCATTTATAATAGCAATCTTTATAATATTAAAAAATTTCAGATTAGAAAGATAAACATTCAGAAAGATAAACGTATATTTCATTTATAGTCATTAATAGTTTCGTTGTTTACAAATGTTGATTCATATCCGTTGATTTAATGCCAAAATATCTTTCTCTGCCAAGGAGATTATTCATTCTCGATTTTCACTGACAACGAAACTAACATATGTGATGTCAATTAAATTAGTACCTAGCTTGCTATATTCTTCTCACTGATAACAATTGTCAATTGGTATACAAAACGATTATGAAACGCTGAAAATATGCATCGTCAATCTGATATGGCGAAAAAGAACGTCTGAGCTGTTCTCATAATATAATGATTCATGTAGCTTCTTTAAAATTCCCAAAATAACTTGTACCATGTCGGTCGAAAACGTGGCTTCAACTTAAATTTACTTAATCTGTAAGCCAATGTAATCTCTCTTAATATTATTACATTATGAGTTTTATTTACAGCGAAAAATTCGTAAATTAACTCATGCATCTTAAAATTAAAGAGAGATAAGGATAATATTATATATTTCAAGCATATAATAAATTAAATACATAAATAAATATAAAATCAATTTTAAATGAAATCATTTTTCTATTAAAAAATATTCCTAAAAGCAATAAATAATTAAGAAGTAATAATTTTTTATGCGATATTTCACATATAATACAATTGATACTACTATTTCTTCACATATTTGTATAAAAAAAATTCATATAATATTATGACGGAGTGAGAGAGAACCGGTTCATGAATTAAACTTTCTTTTTACCATTTACGAGAATTTCCTTTATAAGGAAAAGAGCAATTCAATGCAAATAAGTGACTTGTATATTGGTGTCGCTTCAGCGACACAGCTCGGATGGAAGAGGGAAGGGACAGTTGGTTCCGAAACAGAGTGAATCTCCGGATATTCCAGTGTATCACGTACCACACGCTCGTCAGCGTCATTTTCGATACGATCGCGTACGGTACAGAATCGGTATCACCCATCGGTGCCATCACTTGCAACCAGGTTTTCGAATTGCGCTCCGGATTGCGCAGAAAGAACGATTAACACGTTTTGGTGATTCGCAAAACGCCAACAATATTGGCCCTGTTACACAGACAGACTTAATTATAAGGGTAATTATGGGCAGCACGGTGAATTGTGGAATTATGGAATTTTACAAAGATAAAAAAAATTAATAAAAAACAATTGTACAACGTTTTATTTGCAATTAATCTAATGTATAATTACTGTAATGTGCAATTATTTTAATGTGCAATTATTTTAATACATTTTACATTTATATAATTATATATGTTTGATATTATAAGTTTTATCATTGAGAAGACACTGCAACATTACGTAATATACATAACGACAGTTGCAAAGTAGCAGCAATAATTATTTCAATAGTAACAGCTGTAAATTAGATAATGGAAACTAATTAGTCTATTTTAAATAAGAATATCCATATTTGTCACGATCGCTGTGCACGATCATTTTATTTTGTGAAGTAATTTCTGGTTAAACGATTCTCTTCACTAATTTAACTGAGACATAGCAATAATTGTTAAATTGGGTAATCGTACATCATATCGAAACCATTGAATAAGAGATTAAGTTCAGCTTTAATGTGACCATGACGTGCACAAGGGTGTGTCTTTGAATCGATAAAAGGTCGGCACAATATCACAATTTTAATAGCGCTAAAAAAGGATGTAATTTCTGGATTATCATACTAAATAAAGAATTATTACTAAAAAGCTAGGAGAACGGATTACCTGCAAATAGTAGTTTTTTAATTCTCTTTTGTTTTGTTCTCTTGTGTTTTAAGCCCGATTGCACCATCACTTTAATTTAAGCGAGGCTTAAAACTAGGAATGCACTAGATCGTAAAATTACCGGATATCGAATACCCGGACAGAATGTAACATCGGATATCCGACCGAGTATCCGAGAAGGCAATTTCTTCGAGTCGGATATTTTCCGGATATCTGACCGGATTCCGAGTCTTCTAAAAAAAAGCCTGTACAAAAAAAGATTGTAATTTTGCAACAATGTATAAGATATTATAGCATCATGAATATGCATACTTATTTCTAGAATATTTATATAAGAAAAAATCAACAATTTAATAATATCAAATTTCAACCGGATATATTCCCGGATACTAATGATGTCTGACTATCCGGTCGGATAGTAAAAAAGTGTCGGATACTGAATACTTTCCGGATATCCGGTCCCTACTTAAAACTCTCTGTCTCTTTTTCGGCTTTAAAACGAGGCAAAGAGAATTTTAAGTCTCGCTCAAAAAATAACGTTGGTGCAACCAGGCCTTAATCCCTTTAACTGCTAAATGCGTATAGACTTTAATCATGGAAAAAAATTCGAAGGATTGAAAGGATAGATAATTAAATAAAAAATAAAAAAATGCTCAATAGATATCAAAATCAAAAGATCAATCCTGTCAGAAACAATTTTCATTTGATAAAGCAGGTGAT